ACCCAGTGGACCAAGAGCCTGAGAGCGTCTGGCTGAGTGCAAGACAGCGTCATAACTGTCTGCCAGAAAAGCACCTCCAAGCCTTGGTGCTTGGAGAGTGACCCCAACTGCAGAGCAAGAAAGGAGGGGAGGAAGGAGGCTTACATACCTTCCAGTCTTGGCTGGAGAAGAACTTGGGGTTAGGCAGTTTCCCTGCACAGGCCACCAAAATGATGCGATTTAGGGGTTTAGGGATGTTGGGACCCCAAAATCACAACATGTGGGTCCTGCCCAAAAGAATTCAACCCAAGCCTTCTTTCAGCCAAAGACAAGGTTTATTAGAACATCCATCATATTGGGCAGACTCTTAAGGAGTCTGAACATGGGTAAGCAGTGGTTAGATTATAAGAATCTGACCAGTGGCTAGATTATAAGAATCTAAGCACTGGCTAGATTTTAAGAATATAAGCCCCAGAGTACCTTTTGAGAGGGGAAATAGGAGTAGGGGACTGGGAGTAAGATGTAAGAAGACTGAAAAGGTAGAAGAGAATCAGGATTTGAAGGGCTTTGGATGCCAAACAGAGGATTTTATATTTGATACTACAGCCCTTGGAGTTTATTGAATAGTGAGGATGACATGGTCAGACTTGGGTTTTAGGAAGATTTCATTGACATTTGAGTGGAAGAAGGAGTGGGGAAAAACTTGAAGCAGGGAGACCAACCACCAGAAGCAGACCAATAGTCCAAGTGGGTGGTGATGAAGGCCATTATCAGGGTAGTGGCAGTGACAGAAGAGAAAGAAGGTATATATGAGAGATATGTCAAAGGTAAAATCCATGGAACTTGGCAACAGATTGGATATAGGGAAGTCAGAGAGTGAAGAGTCAAGGATAACATCTATGTTCATAAACTGCTTCGATATCCAGAGATGATACATGTCCTCTAAGAACTCTGTGATTATCAGCTCTAATTGGTTATATCTGTGATGACGTTTTTGGATTTACCAGTTATAGAAGTAAATAGGCCAACAGTTTAAATCAAATATGCCAGAGGGCCTTGTAGTTTTCTTTCTATCTTCCCCTTTTGCAAACCATTTAGCGCATTCTCTCTGTTGCATTGAGTTTTGTGCAGTAGAAAGTTGGCAAGCCAGACTTTGCATTTTTTAAATGAAATTTCCAATTTGGGATGTCCAGGTATGTGTGTGTTAATGGGTAGAGGGATAGCTGTGGGGAGAAGTTGAAGGATCATATTATCTCAATTTTTTCATTTTTCCATAGCTCAGACGGCTTTGCTGGGCAGGGATTGTCCACTACTTCAGCTTTGCCTTGAGCAAATCCCTTTGCTAATCAACTAGTTATTCCCAGCTAACACGTATAGTTTGTCTTACCAGTCATTCTTTCACAATTGTGTCCAAGATCAAATACCAACCATATTTAGGTTCAGGCAGAAAAAGTACATGGCAGGTTTTCAGCTACTCTTTCCCATATAATCCATCCATTCTAGACCAACTGATCTCCTTACTGTTTCTAATATATGTCATAGAATCATAGTTTAGATCGTCCAACTTTGAGATTTTGTCATTCTTCTTAAAATACCTTCCTTGCCCTGATGTCAACCAGTTTACAATTTGAGTGATGTTTTCTAAAAGTAATTCACAAATAAATCCCAACCATGTATTTAAATTTCTCTGGTTTCAGTTCATGACAACCAGAGGGGACCCAGAACTAGAGAAAGCTATTATAGTGGTCTCTGTACTTTGGCTTTCTCCCAGTTTTGTGCTAAAATGTGAGCCATGGGTTTCATTCTGGCCTTTTAATTCTATCTCAGCCTGAGGTGAAAGCTGTTCAGCTACAGACAAAGGACCTTTCATGGCATGAAGACAAGTCAGACCCTATCCATAGCAATCAACTTATCTTTTAAGTTTTGAGCCACTGCTTTAACTTCCCCCAAACATGGCCTTCTACAAAGGACAAGAAGAGAATAATTTCTTTGGTCAGCTGACCTCAACTTGAACTGCAGTATTTCAAATACCTTTAAATCATGTCACTGGCCACAAGGATTCCATCTCATAGAAAAGAGCATTTCCTATTTTTATTAACAACTCTGAGCCAGTTTTAGATCTATTTGCTTCAATGGTAAGAATAAACCTTTGGGAGTTCTTTTGATCTCCCAGAGGAGGCACAGAGGGCAGGAGAAATATTTTTAAAGGGCCCTAAGACTCTGAGAGAGGAGATAAATGATTCCCCTTTGTCAGGGATGCATTCTCTCTAAAATGAAGTGAATAGCATTTTTTCAGTGCCCTGAATGGCACCCTAGGCATCCTAAATACTAATGTCTGCTGGCATGGAAAGAGCTTTCTTCTCCCTTCTCACCAGGACTAACTGTGGCATCCTTGAGTTTGTGTTTCTCACCTCCACACATGGTTGTGAGTGACAGGTTTTCCTTCTTCCAATTAATTTCTCTATATTACAAGATTGAGTCTTCTTTACAAACCGTGTTGAGAAACTAGGTAAACATATGAGAAGGTATTCCTCCTTTGTTTAAATGGGACCCTGAAAGAATTCCTTACCCTTGTAATTCAAAATCCAAATCTCATAATTCCTTGAGGGCTTGGAGGGATCTTGGGCCTCATCAAACACAATCCTGCTCTAGATGGACTTTTACAGAATACAGAGTGTAGTGTTGAGACTCTGGAGCTATCTTAGTGTGGCTGTGTTCCATATACCAAATGAATTTAGCTGACCAGACAAGGAGCTGCACATACCTGTTACTACAATCATGAAGTCCAGGCAGTTGAACTGTCCCTAATGAGGGTTTGCTTCTGAGGCAGTTTGCAAAACCAGACATGATCCAGGCCTCTGAGCTGTGCTTTATATATGATGATAGAGCTGAATGAATTATAATATGAGAAAAGCAAAAAGAGGCAAGTGTGTGTGCGCGCGTGTGTGTGTGTGTGGTCCGGTTCAGGTGAGTCTCTTTATCTGGATCGTTTCCTTTGCATATCAGTGTGTTGGTTTCTCTGTGTCATTTATGTCCCTAGGAGGTACCTTATGTTAGGCAAGTCTGTAAGTTGCTTGAGGTCTTAGGAATGGAATACAGCAAAGGACTAAGCAGTGATGCTTCTGTTACAAGAACAGCCACAGCTGAGTCCTTGACAGAAAAGTTTATCAGAGTTCACAGAACCCTTGCAGTCAGTAATAACAAGACCTTCACAATACCCTTGCCTAAGAACCATAAATAACAAAGACATTCCATTGGGAAGGGATGTGAATTGAGTTTCTCCTCTGTTGTGGGTAGTGGTTCATTGGGAATGAGAAAGTAAAATGTTTTGTATAAAAGGTCATTTTTTAAAAAACAGTTATAGAAGAAACTGGGACCAAGAGAATGGACACAGGATCATTGGCTTCATGGAGACACCTCCTGAAAATCATGGTCCAATTGCTTTTTTGGTACCAAGTTGGCCTCAAGCTGACCTACATTTGGCTGAAGAGAATGGAATTCCCCCTGGACAACGTATAACCAGGATTTCTTGCTTATTGAATGATAGGAGTTGCTGGGTATCTATCAAGTTGACTGACTGTAATTGGCCTAAACTTGTAACCTCTATAGCCTGAACTTACATTAGTGTTTTGACCTCAAAATCAAGAATAAAAACCAAGGGAGATGGCTGTTCCCTGTGTAGTGGACCATTTAAAGGTACATCATGTCCTTTCACCTTGAGGATTCAGAGTTTGGAGGAGAGGAGTTTTCCTTGGCATGAATTGCATTTGAATTGAGCCTCCCCAACTTTGTCATTTTCAGCTTTGATTGAACTCAGTGTAAATCTTTTGCTGATGAAAACACTCCCCTCTGGTACAATAAGTACAATAAGATAAAAAGTCAGATGTGGCTAAGAGGAGAATCTTCAAGACATCAAATTTCCCTTCACATCACAGGAATTAATGCAATAAGCAACATTAAATCACCATAGCATAACCATATATAAGAAACTGCTGTAACTATCAATAGGCTGCTCATAAAAAAAGAAAAAATAAGCTGCCACTGGCAAATATTGCAAAAGAATATTTTATATTTGCTCTTTCTTTTTAAATGTCACAATGGGTTAGAACTGGTCACTCCCATGTCTACTTGGAGGGCATTTTTAATGTATCTGTCACAGCTGCAAGGAACCTTGAAGTCATAAAGAAAATTCTTTATTAGGAAAACATCCCTTAAGTTATTGAAGGAAGGAAGAAACCACTATGGTTCTATGAGAGGAAATGGTACAAAAGTTTGACTATCCTCAGGAAAATAATTGTGAAGCAACATTTCAAGGTAGTTTAATTTTCTAGTGCATTTTAATGACCAAATAAAGAAGATATAAAAGTATCAATTATATATAAACTCCAACATTTTGTTTTCCTGGTTATTCTGACATATAAATCAAATGGAGTATACAGTTTGATTTTATTTTTTAACAAACACTGCAATCAGTCTTTCATGCTATAGATTTGTATAGTTATTGCATGTTACATAGTCAAGATAAAAGTGAATTGGAACTTAAATAGAACACACACATCTTTTCTTCTGATGATACTGCAAGGAAACCTGTAAAGCCCCTATATCCAGGCACTTCTTCATTCTGTTTCCTGTTAACATGTTCTCCCAGAAAAAAAAAATCAGTATTTCTGTTTTCAGGAAATAAGATTGAATTAGTGGGACATAGAGTTGGAACTTTAGTCGATGAGGAGCAGTGCATGAATCCATTAGCTCTGTCTGCTTCTGTCCATGGTCCATTACCAACTTCAAACCTGATCGGAGGTGAGGAGACCTTGGAGAGCCAGGCAGTTTCTATCCCAGCACTTTTGGTTGCCTGTGGAGCTGGGTGCTTTCTGCATGTCAAGCCCTGTTCCCACTAAAGTCACAATGATAAGCATTCCTGGACACTGGGCTCTTGAATTGACTTCATTTTCTACTTTATTTACACATTATCATCCTTCTCTAACATCACATCCTGGGGACCTACAATATGCTCTTTACTATCAGACTTCTTTTTCTGCAGTTAATAATGTTGCAAATGCAGAATCTGGTTTCTCAACAAGAACCTCTGGCAAGTCAAATTCAACCACCTGAAAGTAAGAGAACAAGGACCAACATATTAGAAAAATCTCCAACATGAAACCAGCACCTAATAATGTTTCTGGGTAAATGAATCAAGACAGGACTTTCTTTATCTTCTCACTGTCCATAACTAGTACATGGTCACAGTTTAGGACTCTGTTTAAACAATGGGTAATGGTTAAAACAGTGAAGCCCTTGAAGGCTTCTTTGATGGTGCTCTGAACCAGGGCATCTGTTTTAGAATCCATCGAAGCAGTAGCTTCAGCAAGGAGAACTATCTGTTGAAGAAAGGTATGTAGTAAAATCATTCTATACCAACTTTGAGTCCTGGAAGCAAAAGGCCAATCTTTTTGTTTAGATGACTCTTGGGGGAAATTATGCAATATTTGTATGAATTCTTCAAGGCATGTAACTTCCTTCCAAAATGTCTTATTCTAACCACACAAATGGGCAAGAGGAAGCAATGTATTGATATCAGCCACAATTCTATTATTTAATATGTCTCTACTAACAACTAGATGGCATAGAGTAGTAGAAAGAACACTGGACCTGGAGTCAGGAAATTTGGATTCAAATCCCAGTTCTGCTGTGAGCAAGTTACTTCATCATCTCTTTGAGTTTCAGCTTTCTCTTCTACAAAATGGTGACGATGATAATAATACCTGCCCTACCTTTTCCACAGGATTATTTTGATGAGTGAGGAGATAATGGACATTAAAGTGCTTTGTAAACCTTAACATTCTATAGAAATGTGAATTGTTCTAACAAAAATGCTGAAGTGGGTTGGAAAAATAGGGTTTTTGAAAGCAATAGCAATATCTTCAATAACCCAGGGTAGCCAGGTTCCTGAGAAAAATCAATCTAGATTATGTATTCCTTACCCCCTAAATTTCTCATTACCCTTTGAAGAGCAGTGTTTACTAGGCCTGCTTTTCAGGAAACAGAGCTACAAGATGAGAGGAGGATTTTAAACCTGAACTACTTGGAAGAATAGAAAGGACATATAAGCTGAGCTCCTGAGAGGAGGTTCAGGGGAAGATGATGCCTCTGTCAATTTATCCCATCCACTCATCCCCCAAAACCTTGTTTCAGAAGCCTGTGCTCAGTTTTAAAGTGGTCCAGTTGTTCTGTCTTTGCCAAAAAGCAAACATGCTGCTATAACTCCTGTCTTTAGCAGCCCTGCTAGAAGTATCCAAAATATGACCAATCAATTTTCCATGCTGTTTCCTTACTTTTGAATTACGAAGAAGCACTCTTGCCATACAAAGCAGTTGCCGTTCCCCCACTGAGAAGTTTTCTCCATTTACTGTGACTTCTGCCTGTAATTTCTCTGGGAGTTTTGTTATCTATAAAACATGGTAAATGTCACATTTACAATGATGATCTATACAATTGTCATGGCTGGTACTTATTGATTGCTGCCCCTGCTGCATTCATCAGTATGCTTTATTTTACAGAACATGGAGGAGAAGGAGATGCCAAACAATTATTTAAATATTTCAAACATGCAAAAGAAAAAAAGACCAGGGAGTAACTAGACATTAATAATTCAAAACTGCTGTGTGATTCATATGCCCCCATAGTTAGCCCAACTAAAAGAGCTAATGACTCATCTGCCGTTCTGGAGAACTTATACACTATTGGAAATGACTGTCAGTGACTGTGTGCATTTACAGCTAGGATGAGGTAGGGAAAGCTCCCTGGTAATTGAGGTTAGCAGAGAAAGGCTTTCATTATTCCACTTGAATAGTTCATTTGAGTCAAAATGGTTGCCCCAGAAATAATCCTGATTAGCAAAGGCAAGTAGCCAATGGAAATGCCCATCTTGGATCTGAGAGTAGAAGAAAACTCGTCTGAGAAGCAGGGGTCCCTGATGTGGCCACACACCTGCAGTCTCTAGTCTGGGCCACTAAGACTGGCTGCCTTCCCATAGGTATGCCAGTCTCTGCAGATTGTACTGAATTAGCTAACTATAATAAAAACAAAAAAAAAATCAGCACAATCCTGTACTGGGTATCTGTGGAGAAAGAGACAGGGAGAGGTGATACAATTCTCAGAAAAAAATGTCATCGCCTAGAATCACACTGTATCTTTCATGAAAGTTCTCTCCAGGACCTACCAGAGTTCCTCATCCATGCAGCTCTGAAAAGGATCCAAACTAAATGTAATAAAATTAGAGAAAACTTATTGTGCTCCAATGAGGGGATGACCATTTATTTTATTTTATAGGTGCATTTAAATGTGGTTTTCTACATTTTGGCAACAGAGAAGATATAAGTGAAAGTATAATATTTGATCAATATTAGATTGATTAGCCTAAAGCAATGCTAGATTGTTGTATCACAACCAAGCAATAAAGCAGACTTGGCTCTTTGGTGAATCCTAGAATTAAACAGTTGGAAGGGACCCTAGGCTTCATCTAGTCAAACTTCCTACTCAAATAATAGAGTTCCTCTCTACTTCGTTGTGATACAGTGGAAAAAATGCTAACCTTGGAGTCACGCAATCTGGGTTCAAGTCCTGCCTCTGACACTTACTACTTGCGGGACCTTGAAAAAGTCATTTAATATCTCTGAGTCTCAGTTTACTCATCTGTAAAATAAAAAGTTCAGACTAGATCGGCTTCTGAGGTCCATTCTTTCTCTTGATATCTGATCCAAAACAAGTAATCATCTAGGCCCTGCTTAAATGCCTTTCATGCCAGGACACTCAGTGCCTTACATGCCATTTTATTCCATTGCTGAACAGTTCTAATTTTTAGAATTTTCCTTCACACTAAGTTGAAAGCTTGCCTCCTTATAAACTTCCACCCATTGGTTCTAGTTCTGTTGACCAGAGAGACACTTCTTAATCCCATTGCATTTTCTATATGACAGCTCTACATATATTTAAAGATAATTAACACAACCTTCCTTCAGACTTTTCTTCTTCATGGCCTCAGTTCCTTCAGTCCTTCCTTATATGTCATGGTTTCCAGTCCCCTCAATGTCCTGGTCATCTTCTTTTAAATGTGTCCCAGTTTATCAACATCTCTTTTACAACGTAGGTCTCAAAGATGAAGAAATTTCTTTAGAAGTATTTTTACCAGAATAGAATACATGGACTTAACATTTTCCTTGTACTAAACATTAGGGTTTCTTTAAAATTTCTTTTTTGTTGTCATCTTGCTCTTGATTCATAGTGATCATACACACACACACACACACACACACACACACACACACAAACACATATCAATCCAGGTCTTTTCCCAGTGAGCTGTAACCTAACAGAGTTAGAGAACTCAAGCTGGAAGCAGGAAGGCCTCAGTTTGAATTCTGCCTCTGACCTAGGTGACCAGGTGACAAGTAATTGAAGCTCTCTGAGACTCAGTTTTCTCATCTGCAAAGTGAGGGTAATGATTCCTTTAACAACTGCTTTATGAGGTTGTAGAGTGGAAGAAATGAGATAATGATATAAAATGCTTTGCAAAACTTAAAGTGTGACATATAAAGCCAGTTATTTTATCTAGTCACATCTGTCTTATCCTTGTTAGATGAACCCTTCATTCCAATCTGTCAAGGTCTTTTTAGATCTCAGTTCTGTTATTCAGTATATTAGTTGTCCCTCACAACTTCATGGCATTCAAAAACTTGATAAGCATGCTATCTATGCTATCACGTAAGTCATTGGCAAAAATATTGAGCAGAACATAGCCAAGGGCAATTCCTTACAGCACTCTACTAGGACCTCTTTACAATTACACATCAACTCATTAAAGACCACATTTGGGGGCCAATTATTCAATTTATTAATTCTCCAAACTGCTATCTATTATTGATCACATCTTACCATCTTGTAGGTAAAGATATCATGAGAAACTGATACATGTTTTGCTGAAATCTGGATATCCTGTCCAAGGCATTTCCTTAACCTACCAGTCTAGTAATTTTGTTAAGAAAGAATGTGGCGGCATGATCTCTGTAATCATAGTGGTTCACTGTTGCCTAGTGTTTCAGTTAAAAAGCACTTTATGTACATGCCATTTCATGTTATCATCAGTGTGTGACTAATGATTCACTGAATTAATTCAGTCAGTCAGCAAATATTTAATAAGCCCTTAGTATGCATTGGCTTCTTATTGCAAAATTCAGATTTAAATTGAACCAAGTAGAGAAAAGCATCAGACCATATAGGTATGACCTAAACATCATCACTTATGAATACGAAGTGGAGGTGATGAATCATTTTAAGGGATTAGATCTGGTAGATAGTACCTAAAGAAATGTGGAAAGAGTTTCACAATATTTTACAGGAGGCAGCAAAAAAAAATATTCCAAAGAAAAAGAAGAACAGGAAAGCAAAATGGCTGTCTGATGAGGCTTTATAAATAGTTGAGGAAAGAAGGAAAGTGAAAGGGAAAGGATAAAGGGAAAGATATACCCAATTGAATGCAGAATCCCAGAGAATAGTGAGGAAAGATGAGAAGATTTTCTCAAATGAGCAATGCAAAGAAATAAAGGGAAATAATAGAATGGGAAAGACAAAATCTCTTAAAAAAATTAGAGCTATCAAGGGAAAGTTTCATGTGAAAATGGGCATGATAAAAGACAAAAAAGGTAAGGATTTAACAGAAGCAGAAGAGATTAAGAAGAGGTAGCAAATACAAAAGAAATATACAATAAAGATCTTAACGTCACCAATAACCAAGATGGTGTGGTTACTGATCTAGAATCAAACATCCTGGAGAATAAAGTCAAGTGAGCCCTAGGAAGCATTGCTAATAATAAGGTTAATAGAGGTGATGGAATTCCAGCTGAGCTATATAAAACCCTAAAAGATGATGCTATTAAAATGCTATGCTCAATATGCCAGCAAATTTGGAAAACAAAACAGTGGCCATTGGATGGGAAAACATCAGTTTATGTCTGAATCCTAAAGAAGGGCAAAGTTAAGGAATGTTTAAGTTACCAAATAATTGTGCTAATTTCATATGCCAGCAAGGTTATGCTTAAGATTCTTTAAGCTAGGCTTCAGCAATATGTGAACTGAGAATTACCAGAAGAGCAAGATGGTTTTCCAAAGAGGCAGTGGAACTAGAAACCAAATTGCCAAACTCGCTGGATTAAGGAGAAAGTAAGGAAGTTCCAGAAAAACATCTACTTCTGCTTCACCTTCTACGCTAAAGCCATTGACTATGTAGATCACAACAAAATGTGGCAAGTCCTCAAAGAGATAGGAATAGCAGATCATCTTATTTGTCTCCTGAGGAACCTGTATGCAGGTCAAGAAGCAACAGTTAGAACCTAACATGGAACAACTGATTGGTTTAAGATTGGAAAAAGTGTACAACAAGGCTGTATATTGTCACTTTAACTTATATGCAGAGTATATCATATGCAATGCCAGGCTGGCTGGAATTAAGGTTTCTGGGAGAAATATCAATAAACTCAGACATGCAGATGATACCACTCTGATGGCAGAAAGTGAAGAGAAATTAAGAAGCCTCTTGATGAGGGTGAAAGAAGAGAGTGTAAAAGCTGGCTTGAAGCTTAACATAAAAAAAAAAACAAACACAAGATCTTGGCAACTGATCCCATCACTTTCTGGCAAATAGAGGGAAAAGAAATGGAAACAATGTCAGATTTATATTCTTGGCCTCAAAGATCACTGCAGATGGCAATTGTAGCCAAGGTATTTGCTCCTTGGAAGGAAAACTATGGCAAATCTGGACAGCATACTGAAAAGTAGAAACATCACCTTGCCAATAAAGGTCTGTATAGGCAAAGCTATGGTTCTTCCAGTAGCAATTTATGGCTGTGAGAGTTGAATTATAAGGAAAGCTGAGCACTGCAGAATTGATGCTTTTGAATTGTGGTGCTGGAGAAAATTGAGTCCCTTGGACAGCAAGGAGGTCAAATCAATCAAGACTTCAAGAAATTAATTTAGGTTTTTCACTGGAATATCAAATATTCAAGCTGAGCTTAAATATTTTGGCCATATAATGAGAAGATAGGACTCATTGGAAAAGACCCTGGTGCTGGGAAAGATTCAAGGCTAAAGGAAAAGAGGAGAGCAGAGAATGAGATGGTTAGATAATATCATGGAAACAACAAACATGAAGTTGGACAGACTTTTAAAGATAGTGAAAGATTTAAAAAAAAAAATGGGGGCAGCTAGGTGGCGCAGTGGATAGAGCACCAGCCCTGAAGTCAGGAGTACCTGAGTTCAAATCTGGTCTCAGACCAAACACTTGACACTTACTAGCTGTGTGACTCTGGGCAAGCCACTTAACCCCAATTGCCTTTTAAAAAAAAGATAGTGAAAGATAAAAGGGCCTGGCATGCTATGGTCCATGAGATCATGAAGTCAGACAAGACTGAACAACTGAACAACAACATGTACTAGGCATTGTGCTAAGCACCAAGGATACAACAAAACCTCCCCCCTGCATAAAAAAAAAAGAAAAAAGAAAAACCCATGCACATAACCCCTATCTCAAGGACCATTCTAATGGAAGCAACATGTAAATATCCAGATATGTACAACATATATACAGAGCATAGGTGATCTGTGAAAGGAAGGTACTACTTCATGCAATCAGGGAGTAATCCTGAGTCAGGTCCTCTTCAGTGCGAAGCAGCTCATTAGCATTCCAACATACTAAGTGGTCCCTGAAGTGATCACAAAAAAAAAATTAATGATCTCTTAAGGAGGTCAACTTCTTTATCCCTGGGAGTGAATTATTTGTCGGTAGTGATTACTAGGTAATAATAGTATTCACCATGCTAGTCAAAACAGTTTTTGCCTCTGTTATCTTATTTTACCCTGATGTTGGGTTGCAGGGGATACAGTGGAGCAGGTATAATGATTGTTCCTCCTGCATCAGCTATTGGCAGTGTTTGGCTGCCTATATGCAGCTCATAGGATTTGGTCCTTCTTAGGAAATCATGCCATACTTACCAGTGATTCACTAAAAGACGGCTATTGACAGATCTCCTGACTGCCACTGAAATGGTGCTTTCTTTCAGACTGTTTACCCCTACACTGGGGGACCTGTTACATTCTTGGACAGTCTAGCTTCACTATCTGAGAATATGAATGTGCAATGATAAAAACAGCTACCTTCCTGTACCTACAAACAGGACAGGATCCTGGGGGATCACAGAGAGCTTGGTTCTGAGATCTTCTAAACCAATGGTGCAAATGCCAACATCATCAATGAAAATTGTGCCAGCAGTTGGCTCTACTAGCTGAAACAAGGCCATTCCTAATGAAGATTCTCCTGGGGAAGAGAAAAAGTTACAAAATAGATAGTTGGATTTCCATCATATTTGAACATTTAAGGAAGGGAGTGGTTTTAAAAATGGTGCCTTAGTATAGCAGCAGGGGAAGAAATCAGTTACTAGTCCAGGGGATGCAGTTAGAAGCCCTAAAGCAGTTAACTTATGTGCCATTAGTGCTGGGATAATTGAGCAGGCATTTCGTTTAAGCTCTATATGCTAAGACAGTCTGTAATATTAATGTATAGGAGAGAAGTAAATATATATATAGAAATACACACATATGCTATAACCTTGGACAGTGGTATGTGTGTTGGCACTTCATGTGTGCACATGTATGTATATATACATATATATTATATATATACAGAGAGAGAGAGAGCACCAACACACATGCACCATTGTTCATAGTTATACCATTGACGCAGCCAATCTCAAGCAGAATAGACAAGAAGTAAACAAAAACGATGATTGATCTCACCAGAACCAGTCCTTCCAACGATGCCAATTGTGTGTTCACTTTGGATATTCAGATTTAACCCACTGAGGACAAGAGGGGTATTTTTCCTGTATTTCATTTGGTAATCTTTGAATGTGATTTCCCCTCATTTTGGCCATTCTTTGGGACAACTCACTGATCTGAAGGGGTCAGTAGACTCAGGAATGCAGGTCTAGGATGCAAAATAATTAACCAACTAGTAAACATTGGACAAAGGTGCAGGTGATCTGAGTACAGGCATTCCTTCAAATGTTAAATGTTGTCTCACTTTTGAGCACTCATTAGAATGATTTCTTACCAAGATATATTCCCTTAGTAGTTCCACAGAGGTAAATTTGGCTTGTGTCTCTGTATCTGTTCTTACATAGACTTGTAGGAGTCCACTTAACTATTGAAAGGGACAAATTGTCACAATTAGCAGATTATTTCCTAATTTCAGTGACTCTGATCACTTTTTAGGGCAATAAATGTATTAGTACTACAGCTATACTTCTGAGAAGCCAAAATAATGAGAACTACATTTTCAGATCAACTCCCAGGAGTTAAGATATTCTTGTTGTGATGTTTTCCCTTTAAACACTTCCTTTGTATCTAGAAATAAATGGTAATTACATTTTTTTCACTGGCACTCCAGATGGCTGGAATCATCCCACTCCACCACCATTTGATCACACACAGCTTTCTTCATTCCAGTTCTCTGGAACTGTGATGAAGTGGAACTGCTCTGTGAGCCCATGCTGAGTACTAGCTCCTTGCTCCCACCTGGTGGTGTGCTGCTTCACTGAATCCCACCTGAACTAATTCTGTGTCCTCTCAGAGAATATTACAGCCACTAGAAAGGACCTTATAGATAATTTAAGCCAATCTTTCCCCTCCTCCATTTTACATACGAAACAGAAGTTTAGAAAGGTGAAGTGATTTTCCCAAGATATCATAGTGAATTAGTGTCAGGGCCAGGATTATGGCTCAGGTTTCCTGACTCCTAGTTCACTAAATCATAATCTTTCTCCCTCTCTTTCTCCTGTCCTACTTCTTCTCTCCATACTTCACTTCCTCCCAACTCAAAAGTCTGGTGAACGACTCCAAACTCCTCACCCTCAAGAATGTGAGTTTGACTCTACCAGTACAGACAGTATGGCACATTTCATTTTAGGAAGAGAAATTAGTAAATTCTGATGTAAATTGGAGTTTAATATTACTATTTACATTTATGTCTTTTTTAAAAATATTACTAGAAGGCAATATCAGATGCTCTAGCCCAATCCATTCATTTTACAGATGAGTAAACCACTAGATATTGGAGAAAAAACAGAACTAATAGTTTTTACTAGTATTTAATTCTGTTTTCATTGATCTTTGGAATGAAGAAGCATCAACATGGCTAACAGGTTGAATTCAGTAAGATAAGACAATACTCAGATGTCCTCATTGAAGTTCAGGTCTCCAGGCCTGGTTTAAACTGCATCCCAAGGTTTTAAAAGAAATGACAGATTGTGGAGCAAATATTATTTCAATGATCTCTGAAAAATTGTAGCAAATAGGAAAGATACTGCAAGATTGGAAATAAGTGTCCCAATTTTTTAAAAAAGAGATAAGAATATAAAGCCTTTAAGTGGTTGATATATCCATCCCTAGCCTCTCTTCTGAGCAACAGTCCTACATCACTTATTGCCTTTTGGACGTCTTGAACTAAATATTCCACAGGAATTGCAAACTCAATATGTCCAAAACAGAACTCATTATCTATGTCCCCTCCACCAATACCCTCCCTTCCAAACTTCCTTCTACTGTTGAAAGCACCACCATCCCGCTGGTCTCTAAGGCTTACAACTTGGGGTATTATCCTTGACTCCTCACTCTTACCCCACATAGTCAGTCCAGTGCCAAATGTTGTCTTTTCTTCCTTCATAGTAGCTGTTGCATATATTCCCTCCTTTCAACTGTCCCAGCCACAACCTTAGTTCTAGCTGGACCATTGCAATATTCTTCTAACTGGTCTTCCTTCCTCAACTGTCTTCCACTCCAACCCATCTGCCACTTTGCTTCCAAGGTGATTTTTCTAAAGGGTAGGTGGTTGGTTGTTGTCCTTTGTTCTTGAAGAGGGCCAAAATGACATCACTCTGTTAAAGTTACAATGCATCCAACTTGGCTGATCAGACCAATAGGAGTTCAGAATGCTCTACCACAGGTCTGGCACAAATAGTCCATGTGAACATTTGGGGTGGGATTCTCTAAATTTGCATATCTTGTATTTCTTTTGAGCTACTTTAAAGCATGTAGGTCTGTAACTCCCTTGCTCAATGAGTTCCGGTGGCTCCATATTGCCTCTAGGATCAAGTCTAATGATATTCAAAGCTCCTAATAACCTGGTCCTTTCTGACCTTTCCATTCTTTTTACATTTTGTTCCTTCTTTTGTGTTTCACAATGCAACAACATTGGCCTATTAGCAGTTCTTCAAACATGGCATTAGCTGTCTCCCACACCTGGAATATTCTGTCACCTTACCTCTGCCTCTTTCCCTGCCTTTCAAGACTCAGCTCAAATGTCCTATTACCTAATCAATCCACCCCACTGCTAATGCCTTTGCCTCCTAGATGGCTTTTCATCTACTTTGTTGCATATCTTTAATTTACCTTGTTATTTATGCATGGTTTCCTGTTTTAGAATATGAGTTTCTCGACGGTAGGGACTGTTTTTGCCTTTCTTTGTATCTCCAATGCTTAGCACAGTATTCAGGGGTTTAATGAATGCTTGTTGCGTGACTGACAGGTTGCAGAGAAGGTTTCAGCCTACATTGGTAAAGGAAATGACTCACTGAGAATTCCCTACACCAATTAAATTGCAAGTACAGTTCCTGTCCATAAACTTAATACCTAAATTACTTTGTGCAAGTGATTTTCCCTTTTTAGGCCTTAGTTTTCTCCTCTCTAAAGTATGGGGATTAGAATAGGTTATCTCTAATGTCCTTTTCAGCTATAAATCTATGGTCTTATGATAATTTCCTATAAAAAATCCAAAGGAAACTTAGTAGAGTAGGACAAAAGTTACCTAACACATCAGGCAGGGACAGGCTTAAGACTTCTCAAAGCAACTATAACTGTGAAGACCAACATTATGGAGTAAGTAGGAGAATGTCTCCCAGAGTGAATGAAGCCTCAGATACAGTTCCAAAGTCAGTGCAGAGCAGCCTGCTGTATGTGCTAAAGCACGGTAAGCACATTGCACACATCAAAGCTCTATCCTGACCCACAGTATCCTCTGGGAAGGCAATTCACCACAAAGTAGGTTGACTGACTGAATGAACAACAATAAAAGTATTAAGTGCTTACAAGGTACAAAGCGTTGTGCTAATTGCTGGGAATACCACAGTCCTTAGTCTCAAGGAGCTCCCATTCTTATGCGGGGGACAACACAAATGAAAAGTTTCAGGCACAAGTAAGATGGAAAGGTCCCATTTTCCTCGAAGTGCAGCAGCAATGCAAATGGCAATGCCAATGGCAATGCCTCTTCTTTAATGTCATTTCCACTGATAAAATCATGTCAGTTTCTGATTAGGTTGAAGATTGGACACTGTGACATAACCCTTTCGATCCATCCATACTTGGTCTGTGAATGTACAGTTAGGGTCCGAGATAATTTAGTCTGTTTCTGTCTAAGCTTGAAAGTGTTGTAATTCTTAGACATTACTTTTTTCTTTCATTTCCTAACCATTCTTAACCCTACCCAATTCTTTACACTGGCTTTTATCTTAGACCTCTGGTCTAAGAGTCTCATGAAGGTTTTACCCAAACCAAGGTCTTTTCTCCATCCTCATTCTCCCTAGCTTCTCAATAGTATTTGATGCTGTTGACCATCCCCTCCTTTAAATTTTCCACATATTTTACTTCTATACTGACAACATTGGAGGACAATATATTAGCCTCATTCTTCTTCAACTATTCCTTTTATGTTTCTTTCACCGTCTTCTTCCTTCTCTGTTCTAACTATGAGTTTCTCCCAGTAACGAACCCTTAACTTCCTGTTCTTTTCCCTCAACAATTTCTCATTTACAGAGGGCATTCACTTCCACTGTTTCAACTATGGCCTCTAACTGGATGACTTAAAAGCTGTGTTTTCTTACCTGTTTCATTCAGCAAATATTTATCAAGCACCTTTTGTGTGCAAAGTACAGTGATGGAGGATAGAGAGAAAATGTAAATGAAACAGCCCTTGCCCTTTTGAAACATACAGACTCGTATTGAGATAAACTAATTCACAATAATATGTAACATGGAAGCATATTTAAAAAATCTTTTTAGTAAAATGGAAAATACTGTTTTTCTCTAAAGCCCTTTCCAAACACCAGAGAAAATCCCCTTGGAAAGATAAATGATAAGATTGAGAACAAAAAGGCTTTTCTTGGTGAAATCTGCTGAAGACAGATAACTAGTCTTGTTCATATTATTATATCTTCCCATCCTTCTATTGATTAAGATGATGACAGAAAGGAGGGGGTTCCTTTGTTTAACTCCAGGAATGAAGGGAATGGTCATATTCTTATGGGGGAGAAAATACAAATTAATGGTTTCAGGTATGAGTGAGATGGCAGCCTGGATACTCAACAGCTTCTAAAATGTTAACCCAGAATTGTATTGTTTTATAGTGATTTCTTTGGTCTAGGTTCCTAATGTTGTTACTTGAAATATACTTGAGGCAGAGAGGTTACTCTGCTTACTTACAGAGGTTACTATGGTTACAATCCATCTTCAAATCCTCTAACACATTTCCTTGGGAAGGTACTGACCTCAGATTCTTCTGATGTCAAGCCTAAATCAGTTTCTCTGCAACTTTTACTCCTTGTTCTTAGCTTTCTCATCAAATACTCAAGTGGATCCATGATCTTATGAATTTTGACTTGACCTCCAATGATGCTTGCCCATCCTGTATAGCAGAGATGTCGTGTGTGTTTGAACCAGGTTAAAATGTCATTGGGAAATATTTAACAAAATAAATAAAAATACAATATGACATAATGTTAATTTGTGATTTTCTAAGTCCCACAAGGATCCACTTCTATGGGAGTTTGGTCCTGTTAGGGTCACATCAGGGGATAGAGCCACTCCCAAGTTGGTGATAGTGTGAGAAAGATGAAAGAGAAGGAGCAAAGGCTAACACCCATGTTGTGACATCAGGAGATGGGGAAGAAGCCAGAGGTTATGGCAGAGGGTGGCACCTGGTTCCAGCTACCTCATCCAGACCTTAATTGGGATTGATGCGCAAACTACATAGGAGATAGTACCAAAGTCTGCCTACACCATATAAAAGTATGGAAGGGGGCAGAGCCTGGCCCTGGCACAAAGTTCCAACCTCCAGGACAGAGGCTGGATATATATACATACATACACACA